AGCTTTATCAAGCTCTTCTTGTGTGCCAATTATATTTATGTCATCGACATAAACTGAAATAATACAAAAACCATTCTTTGACTTCTTTATAAATACACAAGGGCACACATCGTTATTTACATAATTATTTTTCAACAAAAATTCACTCAGCCGATTGTACCACATTCTACTCGACTGTTTTAAGCCATATAATGACCTTCGTAATTTGACACTGTACATGTTGCGTGTTTCATTTCCCTTTATTTCGGGAACTTTTAATCCTTCAGGGATTTTCATATATATGTTTGTATCTAATGACCCATATAAATATGCGGTCACGACATCCATTAACTGCATATCTGAATTCATATTTACTGCCAGAGACATTAAATAGCGGAACGTTATTCCATCCATTACAGGAGAATATGTTTGATCAAAATCAATATCGGGTCTCTGCGAAAACCCTTGAGCAAATAATCTCCCTTTGTATCTCACTACCTCATTATTTTCATTTCTCTTTCGTACGAACACCCATCTATATCCTACTGGGATAACATTTTGAGGTGTGCGCACAATAGAGCCAAAAACTTTTCGTTTATTTAGCGAGTCTAGTTCAACCTCAATTGCTTCTTTCCATCTTACTCAATCTGAGCGCTTCCGGCACTCTGCAATTGTTTTAGGTTCTGGATCCAGATTATTAGAGATGGTAAGAGCAAATATAGAGGCAAATGTGTCGTCGACGACTTTGTTAATTCTGTTATAAGTTTCTCCTGTATCAACAAAATTCATAGCTACTTCAATATTCACATCTACCAAATCATCATCATTTCCCAATATATTTTGATCTGGATGTTCCGCAATCCTAGTAATTTTATTGTTTGTTGCACGTGCATTTAAACTAGGATTTTCGCCTTCTGGACGATTCTCTTCTGGAGATTTCGGGAGTGATTCAACATTTTTATTAGATTTTATTTTCCACGGATTATTATCTTTTATACCAACGGGTCTCCCACGCTTCTGGCGTAGAGCATCTGTAGGAATATTATATTTCCTGGGGACTTCCACTCATTGTGGTGCATTTATAGAAGGTACATGTGATTTAGTCACTCCTTTATGATCAGTGAATGCATCTGGCAAATTATTTGCTAAATATTGCAAATTAATTATCTTTTGAACTGCAAGTTCAGTTTGGTTAGTGCGTGGATCTAAATATTGTAAATTTTGTACATTCCAAGAAATTTCTCGGCATTTATTTATGTTTGGGCTTTTATCTTCCCTTAATGCCAGAAAATTCGTTTCATCAAATATGCAGTCAGCGTATCGAGCTGTAAATTGATCCCCAGTCATGGGCTCTATGTATTTAATAATAGATGGAGATTCATATCCAATATATATACCTATCTTTCGATGAGGGCCCATAGTTGTACGCTGTGGTGGTGATATAAGAACATATACTGCACAACCAAATACTCGCAGATGGGAAATATTAGGTTCTTTACCACGCACTATTTGTATAGGGGAGTAATCATGATATGCAGTAGGTCGGATTTGAATTAGGGCAACAGCATGTAAAATTGCATGTCCCCAACATGAAATTGATGAGTTGGAATTTTGTAGTAATGGTCTAGAAATTAATTTGATGCGCTTAATTAATGATTCGGCTAAACCATTTTGTGTGTGAACATAAGGTACCGGATGCTCCACTTTGATGCCTAATGACATACAATAATCATCAAAAACTTTTGATGTAAATTCCCCGACATTATCCATTCTAATAGTTTTAATTTGATAATCAGGAAATTGAGCTCTTAATTCAATAATTTTAGCAAGTAGTTTTGGAAAAGCCTGATTTCTCGTGGATAATAAACACACATATGCCCATCGAGTGGAAGCATCTATCAGGACCATAAAATATCGAAAAGGTCCTGATGTTGGATGAATTGGTCCACATATATCACCATGAATCCTATGAAGAAACATAAGAGATTCAATTCCAACTTTAGTACGTGAAGGTCTTAATTCAATTTTTCCTTTGCACAAGCATCACAAATAAACTCATTAAAAGAAGGGAGATTGTTGCTTGATACGTTATGCCCAATAGAGTTAAAAATAATCCGACGCATCATATTAAGCCCAGGATGACCCAATCTCTCATGCCATAATTTAAATGAATTTCGGTCTTTAAATTTTAAGCTCAATGCAACATGATTAATAGAAGGTCGAATGTAAGTATGATATAAGCCTGAGGAGAAAGAAGGAAGTTCTTCTACAATTTTCTTTTGACTTCCTTGTGAATGAGTCATAAGAAGGTATTCTATATTATTTTCAGTCTTAGTTTCAAGATGAAAACCATTTGATCGGATATCTTTAAAACTAAGGAGTGTTCTTTATGATTCAGGGTACAAAAGCACATCGTTAATTATTAATTCGGTACCATTAAGAAGAGTAAGTAAAGTTCTGCCAGAGCCTACTATCAAGATTTTATCTTGAGCAATTATAGTAACACTTCCTTTCTTTTCATTTAAAGTTTGAAAAAATTTCCGATCTTTCAAAATAGTGTGCGTAGTAGCACTATCGACCAGGCATAAAATACTCTCTTTCTCCATGACTTGCAAACTATTGAATGTTAATTGCACAATAAAAATAAAATATTATAATCAAACATAATAATGATACAATCTCAAGCAAAACTCAAAATATGAAAACATACAAATAACAACAAGCCGTAATTTTCCGAGTGAACGAAAGAAACCATAATGAAACCAAACATAAACATATCCAGTACTCAGACAGAATGCATATTAAGTCACATATTATATATCACAAAAGTCTTCCAGCTCGAGTTTTAATAAATCATCATCATCATCATTGATGACTAAATTTGCTTCAGGCAAACTAGCGCGATGTGATTCAACTTCAGTAGCCTTTCCTTTTTTATCTTTGAACATTCTTTGATAGGCCTCGACTAGATGTCGAGGAGTACGACATGTGCGGGACCAATGACCATCGCATCCACATCTAAAACAAACCTGCTTTTGATCTTTAGGCTGTGGATGTGTATCGTGTCGATTTGAACGATCCGCCTCAATGTTCAAGTTTCCATTACGACCTTCCGGGACGTTATCACCATGACCTTTTCCTCCATCTCGAGTCCAAACACGGCCACGACCGCGTCCACGACCACGACTACGACCACGTCCACCACGATGTGGCTGGTTATGGTATCCTCGACCTCTTCCGCGCATATTATTATGACTGTGAGTAGTCGCATGTGCTTCAGGCACAGCTTGAGTTCCAACAGGCCTAACATTATGATTTTTCATCAATAACTGATTATGTTTTTCAGCCACAAGCAAAGCCGAAATCAGCTCAGAATGCGTCATATAGTTTTTAGCCCTGTACTGCTGCTGGAGTACAAGGTTGTTAGCATGAAAAGTTGATAAAGTCTTTTCAAGCAACTCAGTCTCGGTAATATTTTGCTTACAGAGTTTAAGATGTGAAACAATACGATGTAGAGCAGAATTATACTCAGTGACGGATTTAAAATCCTGAAATCGAAGATTAAGCCAGTCATATTTAGCTTGAGGCAGGATTATGGACGTTTGTTGATCAAAACGATCCTTCAGGGATTTCCAAAGATTGGCGGGCTCTTTTTCTGTTAGATATTCATTTTTCAGATCTTTATTCAAATGGTGACGAAGAAAAAATTAATGCCTTCGCCTTCTGGGCGGGAGTGCTTTGAGATGTATAATCAATCGTGGTACTCAAATCAAATGAGGCCAAGTGAATATCAACATCAAGGGCCCAAGTTAAATAATTACTCCCATCAAGAGCGAGCTCAGAAAATTCTCTTTTGGTAATATCACACATTCTAGTATATAGGAAAATATAAATTTATTATTTATAATTGAGGAAAAAAAATTACCTTGTAGAATTTCCAATAACGATTTGTAATATTATAATTTCTGATACAGAGGATTGTCTATAAGACGCAACTGTAGAGCATACTCTTTTCGTATTACAAATCAAGCTCTAGAGGGTTGAGACTCGTGTTGATAACGTGTTATAAAACTAGAGAGAATTGAGAATAGAGAAACTGTATTATTTTGGTGTGTATTTCATTATAACTGAAGCCCCTATTTATAGGAAAACTTCTTATGGCACAATCGTAATAATACAATTACATCAAGGACAAAATAGTCATTCATATATAATTTTTATATTTCTCGTGCGTTGCATGCACATATTTTATAATAATCGCAAAATTATTCAACATGATATTATGTCAAATAAATTAATTTCAATGTCCTTGTCTTACCAAATAAATAAATCAAGTTTTTCAAAAAAAAAAAAACAGCACATCAATTTGGACGGTCAAATAATTTATCATGATCTAAGCCAATTAAATTTAAGCTTATCCACATTGACACTCAATTTTATTCCCAAAATAAAATTAAATTGGGCCACATAATACATGCTTGAGTGTGATGAATGTAAATAAATTAGAAACAAGCTTAAAAATTAGCTAATGACAAACGGATTCACAACACATACTTTCAAAATTTGAATCCAAATATACACGGCAGGTTCTTCAACCGAATATCAATTAATCCCGCATAAATATATCGCAATATGAATCAAAGTTAAATTGATTCTCCAAAATTCAATATGAATTGGCTCTGATACCAATTGCTAGAATTGGATTTAACTTTATTCGAAATAAATCGATTAATTCTAGGAGCATTCATATTTTTTTTTTTCCGGAACGACAGGGATAACTATTATAAATCTCAAACGAACAAAGTTCGAATACATGGGTACAAAGGAAACCAAAACCGAAAAACTAAAAAAGTGAGAGACACGCTAAAAGCGGTCTAGAGCCTCAACAAGCAAACCAACTAACCGAACAAACTAGAAAGCTACAAACCACAATCATCCTGCCTGCTACAAACCAAAGCCAACAAACAAAAGGTGTAGAGACTCCAGCCACTGCCTCAAAGCCTAGCAAGGAGCTCTACACTCTACACTAAAGCAAACAGCAAGAGAAAGAAAAAACAAAAGAGAGTACAATCTAAGAAAATGAGGAATAGTCTTCTCAGTCAGATGTTGCCAACTTGATAAGAGTGTGTTCAGGAATCAAGGAGTGTTGGAAGAGCCATAAGTTCCTAGACTTCCAAAGCCACCAAAGCATGTACGTTGTTAGTTGGATTCTAGCTTCAGCCACTTCAGAATGGTCTATAGAACAAACCTGATACCACCAAGCTTTGAAGGAGTCTGTGAAACCAGTGATACCATCCCATTGCAGAGGACTCAGCTGCCACACTTTCCTGGCTCTAGGGCATGAGAAGAACAAGTGTTCTATTGTTTCTGCAGCATTCCCACACATTGAACATGTAGAGTCCAACTCCAGTCCCCTTTTCCTCAATTGTGTAGCAACAGGCAGAGTGGTTGAGATGCATTTCCATATAAAGTGTTTGACTTTACCAGCAACTTTTATCTTCCAATGTCTGAATTTAGTGGAAGGTTTGATACTTGAGGATGAGCTGCTTTCTGGTAAGTCCATAGCAAGAAGCCTGATGGAGTTGAGATAGGCATATGTACTTGAGACTGTGAAAATGCCTTTCTTGTCTAATCCCCAGAAGATTCTGTCTTGTCTAAGAGGGTTAATGGTTGAGATTTTGAGAATTGCATCACTGTCCTCTTTGTTAAAGACTTGTTTAATCAGCCAATCATTCCACTGTGTGCCATTGTGTAGCATTAGCTCTTTCACCCAGATTAAGTGACCCCTGGCAATTGGTATAAGCTCAGGAGTAGGTTTCAGATGGTTAGGAATCCAATTCAGATATGAAATTCTTGTATTGCTGCCATTCCTGATTTCAATTTTGAGCCACTTAGCAAAAAAAGGAAGGACTTCCATCCAGCAATTCCACATCCATGAACCACTCTGAGATTTTGTAGCATGAATTAGAGATGAGTTGGGGAAGTACCTATCCTTGAGTATTTTACTAACCAGGAGATCAGGGTTGGAGACAATCCTCCACAATTGCTTGCAGATCAATGCTTTGTTAAAAGTTTGCAGATCATGGAAAGCCAGGCCCCCTTTTTCTTTTGGAAATGAGAGATGATTCCATTGTTTCCAGTGAATACCCTGAGATTGGTTTGTTCCAGATTGCCACCAGAATTTTGCACACAGCCTAGCAATTTATTTGCAAAGAGAGATAGGGAGGAGAAAGCAGGCCATAGTATAAACTGGTAGTGCCTGGATCACAGCTTTGAGGAGCACCTCTTTGCCTGCAGGAGTAAGAAGTTTAGCTGTCCAGGAGGTTAGTTTTGATCTGACAGAAGTAAGAAGATATTCAAAGACATCCTTTTTAGATCTGCCTATTCCCAATGGAAGGCCAAGATATCTGGTGGACCTGTGTGGGACAATACCATTCAATTTTCTGCAGATGGAGTTCTTAATGTGAGGAGATGTGTTTCTGCTGAAAAAGATTGCAGACTTTTGGAGGTTCACTGCTTGCCCAGTAAAGAGTCTATACTTCTCAAGAATATTCATGAGGTACCCTGCTTGGTCTGAGCCAGCTTTGCAAAAGAATAATGAATCATCTGCAAAGAGCAGGTGAGAGAGCACAGGACCATTTCTAGACAATTTCATCCCTTTCAGTTGATTAGCATTTATGGAGTTGAGGGTGAGAGCAGTAAGAAGTTCAGCAACAATGATGAAAAGGTAGGGGGATAAAGGGTCCCCCTGCCTTATTCCTCTTGTAGGAGACACATAACCACATATAGATCCATTAACTTTGAAAGAGAAAGTTGCAGTGGACACACAAATCAAAATCAGTCTCACAAAATCACTGTGGAAACCCATTTGGATCATAATCTTCTTGATGCATTGCCATTCAACACGGTCAAAAGCTTTAATGAGGTCTAGTTTAATAGCCATGAAGCAATGAGGACCTGAAGAATGTCTATTTAAGAAATGGAAGGCTTCTTGAGCAATGATGACATTATCAGTTAATTGTCTGCCTTCAATGAATGCAGCTTGGTGGTCACTGATACAGAACTTTAAACATGCTTTGAGTCTTTGAGCAAGAAGTTTGGAAATAACTTTATAGACAACACTGCAAAGGCTTATGGGCCTATATTGACTCAAGTAGTCTGGGTTTACACACTTAGGGATCAAGGTGATGACTGTATGATTCCAGTATTTGAGCATTGTACCTGATTGGAAGAAGCTATGGACAGCTTTCATGAAGTCAGATTTTATTAAGCTCCAGTTGTGCTGGTAGAAAGTGGCTGTCATTCCATCCTCACCTGGAGACTTGTCAGGTTGCAAACTGAATAAGGCCTGTTTGACTTCCTCTTCCTCAATTGGTCTGAGCAGCTCCTTGTTCATGTCAGAAGTTATAGTCTTGGGAATGAGAGGAAGTAAGGTGTCTCCACCCCAACTGCCTTCAGAGGAGAATAATGATGAGTAGAAATCTGATATGTGGCTTTCCAGATCTTGCTGAGTGGAGTAAACTCTTCCTTGGGGAGAGAGCAGTCTGGTAATTGCATTGAGTTTCCTCCTTTGAAGTGTGAAGGTATAGAAGAAACGGGTATTGGCATCACCTTCCTTGATCCACCTATGTTTAGCCTTTTGCTGCCAATGTAACTCTTCCTGAGAGTGAGCCTTGTTGAGTTGCTTTCTGGTTTCAATCCATTCCTCCCAGTTTTTCTCAGATTTGTCAGCATTTAAATCTTCCAATTTCTTGGATAAGTCCACAATCTCTTTCTGGTTCTGGGTTTGAAAGGAGGAGCTCCATATTAGCAATGCAATTCTTGTGTGTTTCACCTTTTCCTTTAGCTGGTAGAAAGGAGTCCCAGTGGTTGTTGTTTTCCAAGCCTTCTGAACGGTTTCCTCAAAACCCTCCTTGCCTATCCATCTCTTATCAAATTGAAAGCAGGATTTCTTCTTCAGCCTAGGTTCTCCCATATTTAACAGAAGAGCTGTGTGATCTGACGAAGTTCTCAACACATTTAGAATCCCAGCATTTGGATGTGAGTGAGCCCAGTCCAGGGAGCCAAAGGCTCTGTCTAGCTTTTCTTCAACAAGGGCTGGGTGGGCTCTGTTGTTGCTCCATGTGTAGGGGTGGCCTTCAAATTTGATCTCAATCATTTCCATATCAGAGATGAAGTTGCAGAAACTTTGGAAGGATGATTGATGTCTGAGAATGCCTCCCACCTTGTCAGAGTTGGAAAGGAGATCATTCCAGTCTCCTATAATGAACCAGTGGCTGCCCCATTGCTGCTTATCAATCAGCAGCTCTTCTCTTTGAGCTTCCCTGAGCAACCTGCAGGGACTAAGATACACAAAAACTCCCCATTGGGGATGATTGGGTTGCAAACAGAATTCTACTACTATTACAAAGTCTTTACATGAAATCTGATTAATTACAACTTAGGATCCCACATCAAAACTAGCCCTCCACTAAGGCCTTTAGGATCTACAATAGCATATCTATTCTGAAAACCTAATTTATTACAGACAGATTTAACAAAAGCATTTGGTTTTTTTGTTTCAGAAAGAAAAATAAAATGAGGGTGATGAGCTCTATTTAGCTCTTTGATTTGGGAAATTGTAGAGGGCCCACCCAGCCCTCTACAATTCCACACCACAGCTAACATTTATCACTGTGGTGCCATTCCAGGCTGGCAGCCCCCACCTTCGATTTGAGTTTTTTGGAATAAACCTGTTCGGGCAGTTGAGAATCCTCCTTTGGTTCAGTTGGTTCCTGTTCTGTTTGCTCTTGCTCAGCTCTTCTTCTTTTGGTTCTGGTTAATTGGTCTATGATGATTGGTGTGTCTTCAGCTCTTTGCAATCTACCCAGTTTATTGGCTGTTCTTTTCCATGTTTTAGGGAGCTTTGTGCTGGGAGCATAAATTGCTTTGTGATTTTGGGTGCCTTCGACCGTTATAAGAGTGTCTCCTTTCTCCAGTTCCATGGCTGAGGTTTCAATAATTTGGAGATGAGTAGTGTCCACACCTTCTTCAGAGGTAGGAGTCTTAGTGACCGATATCAAGGAATTTGCATCAATGGATTTGGATGGAGACTGAAAAGCATCGTGGCTAGGAATTAATTGGTGATTGTTCCCTTGTTGGCTTGATGAAGCTTTATTGGACGTTCCTTCCTCTGTGTCTCTATGAGCTTCAGTGGGTGGAGAAAATCTGGAATCTGACAAGCTTACTGGAGTCCATTTATGACCATCAGGAGCCTTGAGCCACTCTCCGTACTGACCTTCTTTAAGAGCATTGTTTCTCAGGTCCTCCATTTTAGAGTTGCAGCCTCTATCAAGGTGGCCAATCTTTCCGCAGTAATGACACAGGTTAATAAGTTTTTCATATTTGAATAATCGAGAATCATAACTGAATAGCGGAAACATACCTGATGGATTCATGTTGATTGATCTCTTTAGAACTTAAAATTTAATTTGGGATTTAGAAATCTTCCAAAAGACCGTGATCTTTATTTTCTTTATTTTCTTTATTTAATTTCTTAAACGCATAATAGAAAGAAGACTTAATTGTCGTATATAGGCAATTGTTGGGCATCATGATAAAGATACAATAAATGCACCTTCTGTAAATTCACTGATGACTTTCTTTACACGAATTCATAATAGAAGAAAGATAATCAATATTTTATAAATGCCTCTTTATTTATCACGGCTTTTGGGGATTTCACCCATAAATAATTTTGACCCAAATTATATGTTATTTAGGTCGTTTAGTTTAATATTATTATTATTTGCTACGTCACCAAATAATAATATTACCGGGTGTCCACATTTAATTATTCCACAATTCAAATTAAGTTCCTTAGCCAATGTACAAAATTTGATCACTTAATTTGGCTAAACAATATAATGACCAATGTATTAATTACACATATTTAATCCCAAATAGATCTAACAAGTAATTGAACAAACGGTTAAGTTTCAAACGATTGGTTTCCATTCGAACCATCGGTTTTTGATTTTTTTTTAAAGTTAAAAAAAATAGTAAGTAAATAGAAACAACCAATTTTTTTTAAAAAATGACATTTAGCTAATCTGAATTGCTAAATACCGCACCCATTTTACTACGTACCGCACCCCTAAAATACTAAATTACCCTTTTATTAAAAAAAAAAATAAAAAAAAAATAAAAAATTGGAATTTTTGCTTCCAAACCCGTCGGCCCACCCCACCACCC